TTCAGCTACTTTGACTATAGGTTGGTGATGTATGAGTCAAAAGGAAAATACAGGGAGTTTACCACTGTGTCATTCTTTAAGATCTGAGATCTCTGCTTGGTCTGCTTCCTTCTTTTCACCTCTCAGAATCTCTTTAATGTTCATTTTCTTTAAAATATTCAGGATTTTTAGCAGCACTTTCTGGTATAATCGGGGAAAGTTACACCTACTCCATCATGTCATAAGTGAAAGTTCCACAGTGCTTCTTTTTAAATCCATCTAATTTATGAATTCATGTTTACTTACAAATGGAATACATATAAGCAATGTGATTATGAAGATTTTAATATTAACAATTGGTATCCATAATGACTTTAGAGGCTTTCAATAAAATACAAATTATCAAATTAGTGCTTCTGTTACTATATGACATTAGAATTCAATATTTTACTTCAAATCATAAATGACCACTTGCCTGGGACAAATTACTAATGTGTTTTTCCAAATGTAACATTTTGTTTTGGATAAAATTATCATTTTTGAAATAATAGACATTGAATAGGAATACTCTTCTTCTGTTTTAAGTACACCATCATTTTAATGTCACTCTATGATAAAGAACACTTGTATCCACAATGAAGAAGAGAACACACTATAAAGGAAACTGACCTTTTTTTTGCATTTTCACTGGAAATGACTGAAGATCAATTTAACAGATCAATCACAAGTTAGCACATTCTAATCAAACTCTTCTGAATGAACTGGTCACTCTTTTTAGAACAAAATATCTTTAAAAGCTATAATTTATAAGATGCTTATGTTCCTGAACAGTTTATCCCCATAAAAGAGCTGCACCTGTGCAAATGGAAACAAAAATGAATGTGTTTAAGTAAAAAAAGAATACAAGGGGTGATTTCAAACGTTCACATTTGATAATTGAAGTAAAATTTCTCTGAATCAAATTTATAGTTCCAAAATTTGGTTAAAGCTTACCCTGTGTTTTCTAGGATTAAAGTAAAAAAAAGAAAGTAAACATCCCACATGGTGGAGGCGGGGTGGAAGGATTTGAATGGTACCTGACTGTTCCTCAAGGATGAATGGGACAGAGCCATTTCTTTCTGTCACACCCACTCAAGTGACTCATTTGTTTCCATTTCATTATCTTTTTGGTAGGTGTAATTCTATGGTTTACTTTTAGTGTAGCTACTTCAAACCCCATGTTGTGTTATTCTGACAGCTAAAATCCTGGTGTACATTCTTATCCCTCAAATTAGTTTTTGCTTAACCCTTCTTCCTAAAAGTAGTTGAAATAAATGTGAGCATTGAGCTATGAACATAATCCAGAAATCTCCCAAAATACACATTACTATTCACTGAGCTTTACTTTGTGCTATAATTGTATTAGAAAATAATAAAACATATCTTTTCAGGAATATGATAATTTTTGATACTAAAATTAGTTCTTATGTTAGTTTTTAGTATCATTTATTTTAGATGACTCTTCCAATATATCATTTTATGTATCATTTGAAATCATAATTATCAATAAAATCTCTAAGTATATTCTTATGGCCAGTGATGTAAACATATTTATATTTCTACTTTTCAGTTCCTAATGTCTATTATTGCATAACATAAAAAGGCTTGTTTTCTCACTTTCCTTAAAGAATAATTCTAGAGACTAAGCATATTTGCAGCTTGAAATTAAAGATTTGGGATTTGCAAAAGATTGTATTATTGGGAATTTGTCACTGAGGTAAATTGGTTTTATGATCTTGATTCTAGAATCTTGAAGTTCCTAACAGTAAGCAGCAATGAGAAACTGTGAACGCTGTTATTAATAAATCACAGAGAATACAATAGTTAGTAGTCTTTTACTAGAAAATATATGACCACCTTCAGAGAATTGTTATTTACAAATTTTTTGCTACTTCCCTTTAAGATATAGAGATTGATTCTCCTTTCCTTGAATGAGTGTTGATGACTTACTTTTAACAAATAGAATATGGTGGACCTTGTTGGGAACCAAAAGCCACAGTGACAAGGTCGCTGTGGCTTAGCAGCATTCTGACAAGGTAGGAATCTGCAGGTGCACCATGCCTCTATCATGGTGGGAAGGAACGCTAAATGGTTTCCCTTGACTGAAAAGAAGTTTATACTTAGTTAAGGACACTGGCAGTAAACAATACAGGATGGCAAAAACAGAAAGGTTGTAACTAGGTCAGAGTGTTTTGATGTTTAAGTCTCTTGCTCTTTTGTATAAAGCTTGCTGAGAAAAATAAAATTTTTGCCTGTTGGTCATCAGCCTTCTGGCCCTCTCAATATGTGTTTTGTCATTCCCTTCCTGAGTGAGTGAGACCCTTTGTGTGTCCTGTCTTGTTCATTCCTGCCCTGAGCCCTTTTGGGTCAAGGACCTCTGAGATCCAGGCAGGATGTGACTATCATAACACCTGAGACTAGGTCAACAGAGCAGTATGGACTCCTTCCTGCCTGCCTTATGGAATCACTCCCTCTGTGGGAAGCTAGTTGCCCTGTTATAAAGACACTCAGACACCATATGGAAAGAACCATAAGGTGAGGTGCTGAGGCCTCCTCTTAACAACCACTGAGAAATTGAGGAATCTCTGCCAATGGCCATATAAAGGGGGGCATCTTTGGAATTGGATCCTTTCGTTCCCGGATAAGGCTTCAAGTTACACCATCTTGATCAAAATCTTGATTGTAGCCTCATCAAGAACTCATATCTAGAATTATCCAACTGAGTATCCAACCTGTGAGAAAAATGAATGTTTCTTGTTGTTTTAAACTATGAAATTTTGGTGGTAATTTGTTATACATTCATAGGTGATAAATACAGATATTTCTCCTCTTCAAGATTCTGTTCCTCTGGAACCAATTTTGTCACTAAGTGAACTTTATCATGTTAGATGGAAGTATGTCTTGTTACTGGATTCTTTGGAAATTAATTATAGTTTAAAGAAATGTGTATGGGAGCCAAGTTGACAAAGATGGATTTTGGTGACTTTGTAACATGTCAGTTTAACTACTTTAAACTTTATTTGCCAGATTTATCTTCCCTCTGCATTTCTGGTTAGGGTCAGCCATAAGAGACATTTTTCAAATGGACATTTGAGAGCAGAGATAAGTAACTGACATTTTGTTTTTGCATGCAGAAGGTCAAGGCAGGCATTTTTGTATCTCACACACTTTTTATCTCACACACATTATTGTCCGTCTGCTGGGTCATCTCATTAGTGCTGCCCAGCGGCCTCACTTGCAACTGCTCACTCTTTTCCAGGGTCTTCCTTTAGCATTTCTGGTTCCCCTGTCAATTGTGTACTTGGTCTGTGATAAAGAGTGCCATTGCATGTCCACATCAGGATTAGAGGCGCCCAGAAAGACCTTAGGTTCTAATATGTCATGGTGGTTTTTAGCTCACACTCCAGGTTACAGCTCATTCTTACCTTTCCTCCTTTTCTATTAATCTCTCATTTCAACTGCCTGATCTGTGCATTTACTTCCAGAATTGGACACACACACACACACACACACACACACACACAATGAGACTTTTTAAACATCACTCACAATTGCACAATGTCAAATCCTGTGCCAAATTATTTATTCCACCCTTATCTCCATTTCATTTTCTACAATCGATGTTAATGTTGGAGTAGTTCCTGCTTCTCTGATTGAACTTTGACCAACAGAATGGTCCTCCTCCTCATCATCTCCTTCTTCAAGTAGGTTAGTTCTCCAACTCATGAAAATAAACTGAAGAAATTACCAGGAGTTCCTACAAAACATGAGCACCATTAGTCTCCATGTTCAAAAATAAATTCTCATTTGCTGGGTCTGATGCATACCTCCCAAATCCATAGTTTTCCATAGGCATAAGTCAAGCACCATACTTTGAACAAACAACTGTGACTGTTGTATGACATTTAAAGTATATTTTATTGAAATTGAAGTTTTCCAATAATAGAATTTTTTTCCATTTTTGGTGGTTAATACCACCAAATCTAGCCAAATCTAGATAACTTTATCCAGCAGGTATTGATTATTTGCTTGGTGTATATTAGAAATATACTGTAGGGTGGGAATGGGTATCAAGATAGGTAGTGAAAAGCAGAAAAGAGGAAGAAGCATGTGTGGTAGGGTCTTATTAAATACCATTATTTCTCTTATATTCCTGCAAATAGTGTTTTTTCTGACAATGCTTTCAGAAACCCTGTGATTTTCAGAGCAAACTCAGGTATAAGGAAATTTCAAATCAGTCGGGCAGTGTGATTCTGTAATTGCCTTCCTTTGGCTTCAGCCTGGCAGTTTGCTATTTTATGTATATGATATATAGGGGCCATATGCAATTTTGTGTTTTTTTCGCATGAGATTTTTTTTATTTGAAGAAAATGCACTATATAAAAATATCAAATACATTATTTTTCATATAAAATATGTAACATGTAAAAATTGAAAGTATATGAATATGTGTGTGTCTTATCATTATAAAGTCTCATAATTAAGGCAAAAAATAAGTAGGGATCATTTGAATTAACCTGTTTATTTCATGGATGAACAAACCAAGGCCTAGAGATGGTGACTGCTTTGTGCAGGTTTTATTGCTAATATTTTTGATAGAGCTAAATTCAGTCTTCTAGTTCATTTCTATGTGCTATGTATAACATATTGTGAGAAAAATTGATGGTATATTGGGTCTTCATTCAAGGGTATTTTCAATGTTTATTTTTTTCTAGTTGTATTTTAATGTAGCTCAATTACATTAAAATGTTCTCACATCTTCTGGTATTACATTTTTTCTTTAGATTTATCGGTAAAATAAAATTATCTTAAAATACTATATATTCAGAGATTTTGAATTTTGATTCTGACAAAGGACTATTCAGACAGATTGATGCCAAAATTCATTTTCAATTTTGTTAAAAAGTGAAATAATGAAAGCTTGTGTCATGGCTCTTTGAAAAGATCATGGGGATGTTTGTTCTCTGTCCATTTCTGCAGCTGGATTCTGATGGCACTGTTACCATAGAGGAGCAGATTGTCCTTGTTATGAAAGCTAAAGTGCAATGTGAACTCAACATCACAGCTCAGCTCCAGGATGGAGGTAAAGACACTGAGAAAACCATGTTCCTCTTGGGTCCCCACCCCAGTATTCACAGAGATTGCAACTTCCCCCCCTTATTTAGTGTTATAGGGAGATCCTCATCCATTGTTCCATGTTTCCATGGGGAAGGTGTGGAACAGAATAATGTTTTTTCTTCTCTCTACCCTACTTGTTGCTCTGTTCCTGTTAATGAGTTTGGGAACAGCAACTGGGCATGTGTGCACCAGGCCTCTTTTGGTGATCTGTTAGCTTGTAGGGAGCATGCATACTGCTTTGACCATGCTGCAGGCTTGAAGGTGTAGGTTCTATCCCTTGGAGATTTCCTACAGCTTTAGGTGGTGAACTCAGTTCAGAGCAACAAATAAGCAGGCACACTTATATGCACCTAAACAATGTTCTGCAGAAAACTTTTAAAAATAAGGTATTACCATTTGCCTGACTCTTTATGCAATCTCTCAAGTACTTCTAAATTCAAGTGGGAAATGGGATATAATTTATTGAGCCCCTTAATTCCCAACAAATTGAATGCAGTAGACAATGTCCTTAAAGTTATAAGCCTATAATAAAATATGCATTTTGGTACTGCTTATATTAGTCTTCAAATATTTAAAAAATTGGTTTAATTTCTTAATCGGTTCTGATCAGAGGTGTGGCTTTGATAGTTCTGAGTTTAAACAATGGCATATATTATAGTCAGTTTTGATAACTGTTCCCTAAGAGTCTTCAAGGGAATGTATGTTCCTCAGTTTCTATGTACAGTGATTTACAATGTCCCATAGGTTAAGATTATTAGTCATGTGATTCACATATTCTGTATCCATAATGATTTTTTATCTAATCTTTCTCGTGATAAATATCTTAAAATATAATACTATAATGGTGAACTTTCCATTGAGAAATTCACTGGATTTTTTTTACTTTATATATTTTGAAAATATATTATTCTTTTTATCAATATAAAGCAGCCTTCTTTTTTTTTTTAAATAAAAAATAACATGCTCATAGAACACTTGGCTAAGAGCAAAAAAGTGGTACTGAAAAGCAGAGGTATGGATAGGGAGTGTCACAATCAGTTAATCTCAACATACAACCAGGAATTAAAAAAAAACACATCAAATTTAATATATGTTGTTGGAGAGTTATTTCAATGGCTGATAGCCAGTCTGATAAATATAAAGGAAGTTAACCTAGAGTAACTATTTATGAACTAAATTCCTAGTGAATACTGTTTGCTTTTCTTCTAAACATCTTTTAGCTTATCTATTCCAGGGCTTTTTTTTTTTTTTTTTCATTATTCATATGTGCATACAAGGCTTGGTTCATTTCTCCCCCCTGCCCCACCCCCTCCCTTACCACCCACTCTGGCCCCTCCCTCTCCCCCCCCTCAATACCCAGCAGAAACTATTTTGCCCTTATTTCTAATTTTGTTGTAGAGAGAGTATAAGCAATAATAGGAAGGAACAAGGGTTTTTGCTGGTTGAGATAAGGATAGCTATACAGGGCATTGACTCACATTGATTTCCTGTGCGTGGGTGTTACCTTCTAGGTTAATTCTTTTTGATCTAACCTTTTCTCTAGTTCCTGTTCCCCTTTTCCTATTGGCCTCAGTTGCTTTAAGGTATCTGCTTTAGTTTCTCTGCGTTAAGGGCAACAAATGCTAGCTAGTTTTTTAGGTGTCTTACCTATCCTCACCCCTCCCTTGTGTGCTCTCGCTTTTATCATGTGCTCATAGTCCAATCCCCTTGTTGTGTTTGCCCTTGATCTAATGTCCACATATGAGGGAGAACATACGATTTTGGTTTTTGAGCCAGGCTAACCTCACTCAGAATGATGTTCTCCAATTCCATCCATTTACCAGCGAATGATAACATTTCGTTCTTCATTAAAGCAGCCTTCTTTATGTCTAGGATACATTTGCTTTAAAACATGTAAAGTTAAAATTATTATATTAAAATAGGAATATTCAATAATCAATAATAGTTTCTTTCTGCTTTGGTTAGTGCCTGGCATAACTTTTCCAATCATTCAAAAATATTCAATTGTGATAAAATGCACATAACTTTCGCAAAATGAAAATTTTCTGTACATGGCTATGCAACCAACCACCAGAAAATTTTCATCTGGCAAAATGGACACTCTATACCTATTAAACAAGTCTTTATATTTTTTCCCATCTTTTTATTAAACTTTTTATATACTTGTGTTTTGGAGTATCTTTTATAAACAGGACACGTGGACTTTTTCTTATTGTCTATTCTGATGACTTTCATCTATTAAAAACTGTTTAGTCCAATTATATTAATTGTGAGTATGCATATGCAGTATTTGAATTGAACTCTACCATCTTACCTGGGCTTTTTATTTTACCAGGTCTTCCTCTGTGTTCTTTGCACTTTCCCCATTGAAAACTTCCTTTGGGTTGATTGAGGTATTTTTATCTATTTCTTTCCATCCTGCTCTGATCCCACAGCTAGTTTAGAGAATTATATTGTGTTTAATTATTTTAGTGGTTACCCTAGAATTTTAAAATAAGAAAGCTTGAAGTTTGTTAATAACTTCAGCTTTGTAAATTGACTCAAAAGTTCTTTATTTTAAAACTGTACAAAAGTAGAATAATATTTTGAATTTATTAATTTAAGAAATTTTCTTTTTTTATATAATTCTTATTAGCATGTATTAGTTGTAGAAGGGAGCTTCATTGTGACATTTTTATATGTGCTTACAATGTACTTTACTTAGATTCACCCCCTCCAGCATTCTCCCTATTTCCCCTACCCCCTTCTTAGAACACTTTTGACAGGTTTCATTATTCATTTTTATACATTTGTACAAAGTGCACTGACCATATTTGCCCTCCTTCACCCTCTCTGTTTACCCTCCCTCCTTCTATTGGCACTCCTGGATAGACTCTGTTTTACTTTCCTGTCTTTCATTTTTTAAGTGTATATTGGTTGTTCAAGGGGGTCTTGTCATGGAGAAGTTTTCCATTTTTGGATGCTCCTAAAATTGAGAGACATATCAAAATATTTAGGAGTGAACTATTGTACTGCCTGTAGTTTATTTTAAAATTATAGCAGAAAATAAATTAGATGAAATAAATATTATAAAATAATAACTGTCAATTCTTGATTATGAATGTGTAGTATTTTGTATTATTTCTGAAACATTTTATAATAAAAGGACAAAAATTTTCTAATGCTTAGGAAAGAAAGGAACTATAAATACTATAGTTAAGTGTTTACCTAACTATAAAATTATTCAAGCATTTCAAAATAGAATTCATTTTGTTCTCTTTCTGAGTATGATTATGTTTTGTTATGAGTAACAGGAGAGCTGAAGAGAGAAAAAGCTAGATTCTCCAAATTTTAGGTTGTTTGGTGTAAATATCGTGGTTGGACAAGCTTCTGTAATAATTAGTTTTCCTGGCTATGGAGAGGATTACAGAGTTATAATTAGTGGTGTTAATTTATGAAGGGAGAATGGTGAGTTGTTAGGTGATTAATTAGTTTCTTGCCAAATAATGAAAGTATTTACTCACATGGCAGTCATGGAGTCCATGCTAATTAAAATCTCTGTATTTTCTGTCTGACGTCATGACTTCTGCAATCTTTTCAACCTTTTGTGAGTATTTATAGTTCTTGCTGTCAAAAAGCCACCAGAGTAATGATTATACTCTTTATAAATATTATTTGGGAAAAATATCATTTGGGGTAGTAGGCTTTCTGAATTTTGAGGGAGTATGCTTGTGTGTGCACATATGTTGGATGGTATCTTGTTGGAATTAGAAAAATGTCTTTTTTGGGAACATGGGAAAATAAATCTTTTCTGAAACAGTTTTAAACTAAGTAAACTAAGCAATTATAGAACAAGCTGGACTTTGGATTTTAGTTTTATATGAAGACTTTATCCCATCATGTGACTAACTGTTGCTCCAAACAGTGCATGACATTGAAGCATACATTTTAGGAAGACACCTAGATAGGAAAACAAGGGTATGAATCCAGGCCCAATTTAGACTATAAAGTAGATATTGGGTACAAATTGATTGAATAATTGTGTTAACTTTCTGTTATGGTAAGAACTAAGATAAGTAAACTTATAAAGAGAAAAGGTTTATTTTGGCTCATAGTTTTGGAGATTTAATCCATGACTGATTTGTCCTGTTACTTTGGGTCCATGTCAGCACATCATGGCAAAAGCACATCATAGAGCAAAGCTACTCAACTCATAGTTGGGAAGCACGAGAGACAGAGGGAGGGCCAAGGTCCCATTATGCCCTCTCAATGACCAGAAAGCCTCCATTTGTTTTACCTTTTAGTTTCCCCCATCTCCTAATAATTCCAAGTTTGACTAAGTTTTTTGCACATGGGTCTTTGGGAGGGACATTCCAGATCCAGTCATAGCAACAGCCCAGACACATAAAAATATGTGACTTGTTAATGACAAAGTAAATGGATAGAAAATCATATGGAATTCTATGAAGACGTAGAAGAATATTTTGGCAAGGTTGATAGACGAGATTGATCCATTGCACTCTATCTAAAGTGAGAAGGAAAATAAACCAATAACAAGCAAACAAACAAGAACAAATGAAAAGATGTAGATGGAGCTGTGTACTAGAGGCAGGAGCCAGTAGGATGAGCTCCTGGGTTGCCTGTGATGTGTGAAGTTTAGGCTTTTATAATTTGAGCAAATTGAGGCTGTTTCCAAGAAAATATTCTCTTCTCCAAGAACAGTGTGGGCAAGGGAAGACGTTTTATTTTCTCATTCCTTCAACAATCCACGAAGCAAATCATGTATTTATTTCTGTGAGACAGGTAATTTCAGCTTTGTGCTGAATTCTTTTCTGTAGAGATCAGTGTTTGTGTAAGACTCTGCTATGCGAACTATTCAAAACTGAACAACTTGACACCGTAAACATTAGCTAAAACAAAAATCCTCAATTCAGTTGGCGTAACTGGTAACAAAATGTGTAAGAGTTCCACAGGTGGTGGTTGTAGCAGCAGAATAATGTACCTGCATAGATATCTGCCCCCTCATACGTGGTGTATGCATGCCTGTGTTTGCTATTTTACATGACCGAATGGTCTTTGCAGATGGAATTAAGGTTATGGAGTTTAAAAAGTGCAGATTATTTTGGATTATCTGGGTGTGCCCAATGTAACTAATTACACAGGCCTTTAAAAATGGAAGAGGTAGGTGAAAGGATTAGGGTTGTGAAAGAAAAGGAGAGCAGACATTTGAAATGTGAGGAGGACTTAGTCTGCTTTGCTGACTCGATACAGGAAGGGGATGTGAACCAAAGAATGTGAGTATTTTCTGGAAGCTGGAAAAGGCCTTTGCTGCCAGCCAGTGAGAAAACCTCAGTTCTCTAATCACAAGAAACTAACACTGAACTGAATAAGGAAATAGGTTATCCCCCAAAGGGATCACAGTCCTGTTCAATCCTTGATTTTTGACCTTGTGAGTCCATTAACAGAGGTCTACCTGAGCCTGCTGGACTTCTGACCTACAGAAATAGTAAATCAATTTTTGTTGTTGTAAACTGTTAAATTTGTGCCAATCTGTTATATTAGCAATAGAGAACTAAGCCAGCACTAGTAGAAAACATCTCTTTTGGGGAAGTGGGGACCTGACGTGGCTGACAGGCTCTCTTCTTGGAAGTTTAGTACATAGCTAATGGAGAGGAGCCCTGAGCAAAACAGCACTGACAGCGAATGTTTGCTAAGCTCCTCCAAGGGCCAGAGGTTGTACCAGGAATACCGTTAACACACTAAGCAAAACAGACACAAATTTCTGCTCTCAGGTTTTTAAAATCCTGTGACTTAAGAAAACATTAGTAAAATAACACATAATATTGGAAGGTGATGAGAACTAGGGAAATAAATAGCAGGAAAAAGGGACAAGGGAGTATTTTAGGATATAATTTTAAATGGAGGGCATTTATTCAGAAGTTGACATTTGACTAAAAGTCTGGAGAAGATAAGGAAATAAGTCTTGAACGATCGAGGAGAATGGTACTGAAATCCAGGAAGAGCATCAGAGCTGGAGCTGTGAATGAGAAGAGATGGGGAGGGAGCCAAGGTCAGTGAGCTCTGCTGGAGGAGAAGGCAGGTCCTCTGGCCTTCAGACATTGCTAAGACTAATGCTTTTTCTCAAGATGAAATGGGGGTGCCTCTGGAGGATTTGGGGTTGTAGTAAGAATAAATGAGAATGTGTCATTGGTTACCAATTTGTTTGAGTCAGGTAAGACAGAACACCATGTACACAAGTTATGTGACATGGCTTTATTACTCACAGATAGGCAGGAAGGGACAACAAAACCCTAGGATTCATTTCCCAGACTCAGGAAAGTGGGAGAGTGGGTAGGGAGTGGATAGAATCTCTGTTGTATATACCTCACTTTCATTGTAGCTAAGTCACCCCAGAAAACTGCCTACCTGGGTTAGATACCCTAGGGAACACATGATGTTTTGCAAGACATCCTGTTTTGGGGAAGGGACTGGAAGGGGCCAGGTCTGTTCTATCCAGTCTCTCTCCTTATCTCAAGATGCTGCATTCCCTGCATATTCTACAGATAATCTTGAGAACTGCAAGCAAAAGGGGCAGGAGAATAGGACGGCTTCAGCACCACCTAGAGAACTGTCCTGCAGAGAGAGAGAGCAAGAACACAGTCTGGAAGACCAGTCAGAGACTATGGAAATAATTCTGGGTGGCCTGTGGTGGACATGGACTATCGTGGTGGAATCGGAGTTTATAAGAATGAAGGGTTTAGGATTCATGTTAAGAAGAGTTGAGCTTATGAGAATCTTGTTTGATATGAGTGTTAGATTCAAAGAAATTATTGCTAAAAAGATAAACCAGGATTTTGAATCTTTTTGTGTATTATGTTCTTTAATAGCATTTAAAAAATCTAGGTGAAAGCGTAGCTACTGCTGACAGTTGGAAGAGCTACTTATAGCTGTTTACAGTGACATCTAATGTTTTTATACATTGATTGCCAGAATTGCGATAGCTAATACATTGGAATAATTTGGATGTTTTAATTTTGCAAATAAATGGTTCCTATCAGTGGGCCTCTGAAGATACCGGGCAGGTGAATTTTGGGACATTTGCATCCTGTCTATGCCATTCTAGTTTCCAACATTACCCATTGGTTTTACATTTTGCCACAGGCAGTGACCTGAAATTTTGTATTTTCAATGCATTTATTCTCTATTGTTTTCTCATTTTTATTTGCCTTTTTATTTTTTGCTCATCAGAAGGTAATTGCTTTCCAGAATGGGATGGACTCATATGTTGGCCCAGAGGGACAGTGGGGAAAATATCAGCCGTACCATGCCCTCCTTACATTTATGACTTCAATCATAAAGGTATTGAATTTTTTTTGAAATGATTAATTTGAGATGGAAATTTCAGGGTTTTGTTTTTTGGTAATAGATTATGTGATCTCAGTGTCTTTCATATCTTACAGGAGTTGCTTTCCGATATTGTACCCCAAATGGAACATGGGATTTTATTCACAACTCAAATAAAACAGGGGCTAATTATTCAGACTGCTTTCTGCATCCAGATATCAGCATAGGAAAGGTAATGTCATTTCAGTGTTTGTGAATCCCTAACAGAAAACAGAATGATGCATAAAGCCATTCTGATTGTCAGCCACTATATATAAAACACCTTTGTTCTATGACACAAAGATTATAAAATATAAAAGCAATCATAGAATCCTCTCAGAAGCACATGAACCAGTCTGGTATTTTCCTTAGATTAGAGTTACTTGTCTGAGACACACAGATATAAAAATATGTGTGTGTTATGTTACATTATGGTTATATTATATTATATCATTTATACTATGCATAAAAAATCTAAATAGGAAATCAATAACATGACTGATGATCCATTCTTAGTTACCCATGAATGACTACAACTTATCTCACTCTATCTATATTTCTGAAAACTACCTTTGCATTTTAGAGAAGTATTTCTATCTCATAAGGTTTGCTAGTAGACGATTTCATTATTTTCTGACAGATTAGAGTTGTGGAATTAAAGAGGAGCAAGGGGTTAGTTTTTCAGCACAGTGCCTTCATTTCACAGATGTGAGTCAACTGAGAACCAGAGATTGGTGAATCTAAGGGACATAGTTTGCTGATGACAGGTCTAGAGCAGAGCCCTGATGTCAGTGTTGTTTGTAAGATAGCAATCATATTTAAACTTCAGAAATTTCTAGAGAGTTACTGTTCAGTTATATTTGGCAGTTTAAAAGTCACACTTATATCATGCCACTTAGGCATGGTGAGTAAAAATGTGTAATGAACATATGATGGTAGGAATGTATATGATAAGTTGCTGAATATCAACTCAGAATCTTGAATGAAGATTCTGAGAACCATCTGTTATATGGAAACTCTCAGCATTAAACATTTTTTGTAAGCCTGCTGGTTTTTTTTTTCTTTTTTGTGGGACTAGGGTTTGAACTCAGGGCTTCATGCTTGCAAAGCAAGTGCTCTACCTCTTGAGCCGCAACTCCAGTCCATTTTGCTCTGGCTGTTTTGGAGATGGGTTCTCACCACGAACTATTTGCCCTGGCTATCCTTGAAATGTGATCCTCCTGATCCCCACCTCCTAAATAGCTAAGATTACAGGTTTCAGCCATTGGTGCCTGGCTTTTCCTACTGATTTTTGGAGGAAATAGGAAAGAGAAGAGTAGAAGGAGAAGTGGTTGAGATGAAGATTTCTTTGTTCTTTCCTTCTTAACTTCTTTTCTGTTACAAAGTACTACCACATTAATGTGCTCTGTAGTAATTTGTTGAAAGACCTTCAGTTTTGTGCTTCAAGACTGAAACTTAGATAAAATTAGCCAAGGTGAGGAGATTGTTCTATATTCTATGACACAAGTAATACCAACATTGAATTATATTATTTTATATTAATAAAATGCTACAAAAATTCCAGTCTCCTTAGCAGAAACATTCACTGATCATGAAATTAATGTTTTTTAATGGCTATAAAATGACTTGAGTTACTTTGAAATAAGAAGAAATAAGCATTCACTGATGTTAATGTACTCTGTGATGATCTTCAGTTGTGCCTAAATGATGGCAAATGGAAGCCTTTCATATTTTCAATGGACATTAAATTAAATAATGGTTTCATTTATATAGAACTTGAACCTTATAACCATTCTTTGTGACTGCTGTATATTGTAAAAATTAAAATAATGAACCAAAGATGTACACCATTTCATATCAAAATGATTTAAAAGCGAACTAAAATGTGAAGAATTTTGTTAGCATAAATTAATTTTATCTCCTTAATAAAAAATACAAAGAATATTTTCTGTTGTTTACTACCCTTAAGGAATAATTTGAGAGACTCAAGGAAAACAAATATCCTCTAGTAAGGGAACTAGATGTCTCCTGAAGTTTTGATACACTATAGGGAAAAATGATATTTATTTATGAGATATAAATTATTAATGCTTAAAATGAAATTTTTTTATAAGGAAGGAAAAGTAAAAAACAAAAAAGATGTGTATTGAGAATAAATGCCACACAATATATAAAAAGAATCAGTGCTACATCTTTACTGGGGAAAGAAGACTAAGATACTTTTAGGCACTTATTTATTTTCTATAATTAATTTCCATATCATTGGCTTGAAGGAAGGGAAGGAGCTCTAATGGTACGCCAGAAGACTATTAAATTGTTTAGAGTATATATAAATAGAAATTACCATATAATATGCCTCTTGTTTAACAGCCATAGAAATTTTGAAATGCAATTTAGCAATATATATTAAAAATCCTCAAAGGGTTATATCTTGCTTTTATAATTTTACTTCTAAGACTGAGGATAAGGTTTTGAAATTGGGAAACTGAATAGAAAAAATGTTCACTGAACAATTAATCATTATAGTGAACATTTTGATATTTTGAAGAATTTAAATTTCCAATGAAGAACTGCTTAAGTGTATGTTTTTGTAAAGAGTTTGCAACTTTGGAAAAATTGTTTTGTCATTCAGCTAAGAGAAAAAAGAGCAGGTAATAAACTTGGCATAAAAATTGGGAACACAGATGCTTAAAACAGTAGGAAATGAAGCATAGAAACAGAATGAAAGAAATCCATGAAGTACTAACATTGCTTCCTTTGGGTTAGTGAGAGTTTGGGAGGTTTTTTCCTCCTCCTCGAAATATTTTACACATCATCCAAATATTTTCTATACAAAGTTTTAATATTTTTTAACAGAAAGTAATAGGTAATAACACTTTAAAAAAGGAAAGATATAAAGTCTACTTTCAGTCAGAATATAGGCAGGTCTAGCAATAAGTTGGGTAAGATGCATAATTATTTGTAAAGATCCACAAGTAAGCTGAGGATGCCAAGGAATCTAAATGGACTGAGTCTGGGAAATGGGTCAGGTATTCTTATGAGAGAAGCGGCTCATAGCTGCATTTATCCCTAGGTCTACAAGAGAAGATGAAAAACCAGACCTTAGAGAGTGACAAAAATAAAGGAGAAAAGCTTTTAAACCGTCTTTTAGCAGACAAGGGCTAGTATGAAGGCTTAGAATTCCAAGGAGCAAGCCCTAGTCACAGTGAAGTGTATTTCACCAAATACACAGTGGCATTATCCCAAAGGCTGAGGACAGTGAAGGAGCCTATGAAAACCCCTTCAAGATGCACATAGGGCCTTCATGGAGTGAAAGGTAGAAATTAGAAGCCATGGGACACAACAGGGGAGATGGGAAATTTCCCTTGAGGCAGCAGGGATCCTCATTAAATGCATGACTGATGTTGCCTTTAGGTCAGGGGAAGAAAAACCCCCAACCCAGACATATACAAGTCTCATTGAGTATAAGGCAGCAGCCTGGCTGAGAAAGCTGAGAGAGATCTGACCTGGGTACAAAGGTTCTTCATCTGTAGCAAGGAAGTGGCTAGCTGAAGACTTGGTAGAGTCTCAGGGTAGAGCAAAAATCTCCTGAGATGCAGGTTGACTAGAGGGTGTTCACTGATACCACTTCTGTTTAACATAAGACTGGTAGTACTAGCTAGAGAAGTCAGGTGAGAGAAAGAAAGAAAGGCATACAAATTGGAAAGAAAGGAGTAAAATTGGGTTTTGTTTGCAGATGACATGATCTTATTTACAGAAATCCCTAAAGACTTCTCTAAAAAAACTATTAGAACTAAGCTAGGTATGTGCCTATAATCCCAGCTACTCCAGAGGCAAAGGCAAGAGCACCGAGTTTGAGGTTTAGATAGTGAGACCCTATCTAAAAAGCAAAAAGGCTGGGGTTATAGCTTAAATGGTAGAGTGCTTGCTTAGCATTCATGAGATCCTGGGTTCTAAAACATATTAGAACTAATAAAGGAATTTAGTTAAGTTGAAAGATACAAAATCTATATACAATGTCAGTAGGTCTTCCATACACTAACAATAAACTATCAAAAATCAAGAAAACAATCTCACCGACATTACCTAAGTAAAATAAAATAGGAAGAAATTTCTCAAGGAATTGAAAAGCCTGTACACTGAAAACTACAAAATATTGATAACGGAAATAGGAGATACAAGTAAATGAAAAGGTATCCGGTGTTCATAGATGGGAAGAATTCATATTGTTTTAATGTCCATCTACCCAAAGTGATGTATAGAGTCGATGTAGTCCCTATAAAGATTCCAATGACTTTTGTTTTTACAGAAATAGATGAAAAAATTCAAAAATTTGTATGATACCACAAAAGATCCTGAATAGTCAAAGCAATCTTGAGTAAAAAGAACAAAGATAGAAGTTTCACATTGTCTGACTTCAAAAGGCATTACAAAGTTATAGTTATAAGAACAGCATGGTACTGGCATAAAAACAGACATATAGACCAATAGAACAGAAGAGAGAACCTAAAAACAAATCCACCCATTTATGGCCAACTAATTTTTGACTGAGGTGCCAAGGACACACAATGGAAAAAGGACAGTTTTCTCAATAAATGGTGTTGGGAAACCATATCCACATGTGGAAAAATGAAATTAGACCATTATCTCACATTATACAAATATCAACTCAAAATGGATTGAAGACTTATATGTCATACCTCAAGTGTAAAACTATTAGAAGGAAATACAGGAGAAAATCTCCACAAAATTAATTTGGGCAATGAGCTTTTGGATATGACCCCAAAAGCACAGGCAATAAAAGCAAATTAGGTAAGTGAGATTACATCAAACTGAAGTTCTTCACAACCATGGAAGCAATCAACAGAGTGAAGGGACAACCTACAGAACTGGAGAAAATGCTTGTGATCCATACATCTGATAAAAGGCCATATCAAACCAGGCATGGTAATCCCAGTACTCAAGAGGCAGATGTAGGAGGATCATAAATTTAAAGCCAACCTAGGGTGTAGTCTCTCTCTCTCTCTCTCTCTCTCTCTCTCTAAGAAAGACTATATGCAAAATATGTAAGAATATATAAGGAGCTCAGAAAACTCAATAGTAAAAAACCAAATAACCCAATTACTGAATGGGCAAAGGGATGTGAATAGACATTTTTCAAAAGGCAACATACAAACAACCAGCAGGTTTATGAAAAAATGCTCAACATCAGCCATCATCAGAAAAACATAAATTTACTAATCATCAGGAAATGTAAAATACATCCACAAGGAGAGCTATTACCTTACATCTGTTACAATGACTATTATTAAAAAGACAAAAAATAACAAGAGCTTAAGAGGATGTTAAGAAAATGGAACCTTTACACAGTGTTGGTAGGGTTATAAATTGATACAGTCATGGGAAAGAGTATGGAGTTTCCTCAAAAAATTAAGAACTACTACATAATCCAGCAATCGCACTACTGGGTATATATCCAAAGGAAATTAAATCAGCATGTTGAAGAGATGACTACACTTCCATGTTCATTGCTGCATTGTTCATAATTACCAAGATACAGAAACCACATAAGTATTGCCAGGAAGCAAAAGTTGTCAGACCTAAAAGGAAAAAGAACCACCTTCCAATATGTCGATATTTTTAAACACCATTCTCAGAACAATTTGACAAATTTTCCACAAGATATACTTCAAATGCTTTGATTAAATTGATTTTTATAGAATAATATATCCAATATTAGCAAAAATTCACATCTTTTAAAGTACACACCAATGTTTCATCAAAATAGAACATATATTGGTCTACAAAATAACTTTAATAAGTCTAACCATACAGTATGTACTCTGACTAAAAAATGGTTAATTAAAAATCAGTTAAAATAAAATGCAACTTGTAGAAAATGGACAAATAGTTGAAAATTCACAAATAGTTGGGAAGTTCAGATTGAATAAATAAAAGTCCAAAATATCAAAAGTTGTGGGAAATACCTAAGGCAAAGCTTAAAAGGAATAATTAAAAAGAACAGGTGATAATTTGATGATCAAAATTTTCCACATTCAGCTGTGAAATAAAATGCTTAGAGCAACCACTTGAAGTATGAAATGGATTAATAGAACGGGATTCTAAAAATGTTCCATCTACAGGATTGGAGGAAAAAGAAAACAGAAATGAAAGGAAGATAAACTTAGACAACATAGTAGTATTATATTAAAAATAAATGGTCTAAATATACAAATTAACAGAGAATGAGTCAATTGAAAAATATGACCTAACTGTATACTATGTATAAGAAACTCATTCAAGTATACTGATATACATAGGTTACATTTATGCCATGGAATACTATCCAGCAATAAAAAGAACATTATTGATAGGTGCAACAATTTGGATGGATCTTGAGGACATTATGGGGCTAATCTCTAAAAATCTCTTGCTATGTGATTGCACTTACATAATACTATGAAATGACAAAAATGTGTGATGGAAAACAGATTAATAATTGTCAGGTGTTTGGGATAGTAGGGAGAAGGCTAGGCATGGCTGTAAATGGGTAACACAAGGTATGTGCTGGTGGACTAGTTCAGTATTTTGATTTTAGTGATGGTTATAAAATGTACATATGTGATCAGATTAGCTAGAACTATATGTAAGTAAGCACATTGCACCAATACTGATTTCCCATTTTTGATATTTTAGTATTTTAGCATAATTATGTAAGATCTAATCATAGAAGGATGCTGGGTGAAAGGTATATAGAAGCTTTCTTAATGTATTTTTCACTTCTTGTAAATTGATTATTTTTAAAAATAAAAATGAAGTCTTAATATATGTAATAATACTGATGATATTAAAACATTTTTCTCTGAAAAGTGTGCATATTTTGTAATTCTAAGATGTCTGTGAACAATCTAGAAGAAGATGAAGTATATGAACAGAGAAAGCTCATTCATGGGGACAGAAATTAGAGCAGTGATTATGCGGGAGTAGAGAGTAGGTGGCTTTTTGACTACCAAGGAGGACAATGAACTTGGTTTGTCAAAACCCATCAAACTGTTCATTTCAGATCTGTACATTTTATCACATGTAAATTACAGCTCAAAAAAAGATAATGAGAACCTAGAAATAATCTTCCAAAAATGACACTGTTTTTACCAATTCCCTGGTAAAATATTCCTCTGCTGTATGTGACTGTCTCTTCTCCACAGCAAGAATTCTTTGACAGCCTCTATGTCTTGTACACGATTGGCTACTCCATCTCCTTGGGCTCTTTGGCCATGGCCGTTCTCATCCTTGGCTACTTCAGGTGGGTGAGTGATTCCCAGTTACTTTCTCCAAGAAGAGAAATGTTCTCATTCCCACCCTAGAAGGCGTAGAGATCACACAATCTTTGTCCTCAAATATTTCTCTCATCATGGGATTTTGAATATTTTCAATGACAAATTCAGGGTTTTTTAGTTTCTTTGAAAACTTAAAGCATTAAAGCAGTGTGAAAACTTTAAGTTAATCTGTATTCCAGTATAGTTCCTTACAGCATAGAAATGAACAAAAATTTTCATTCATGATATAATGACTTATTTCACTTTTTGACAAATGATTTTGGTGCCACTGGACAAAATTCATTCTTAATTATTTGATATCAGCACATAAAACACAGTATTTATTGATTATATTATGATTTACTTTTTTATCCACTTAAACTTGTCTCCAACATAATTCAATATAATCTTAATCAACACTGGCTTTTGAGCATCATTATAGAGACATAACAGAGAACTATGTCCACATCCTCACGGTGTTCATGATTAGCTTGTGATACCAACAGCTGACACAACAAGCAGCACAGCATATGAGAAGTGCTGAAGTAGACTTATTAATTTTTGAGGGCAGAAGAGGGAAATTAATGACAGTCTTGTAAATGAAGTGAAATCTAAAATGATCCTTGAGTATAAATAAGATTTAATTAAAGAAGAGTAACACTGTAAAATTTGGATAAACATGATAACAGGATCCGTATGAAATTAATACTCAAAAAGTTGCATTTTGTTTTGGATCCCATTTTTTTGACTGGAAACACAATAGTGGATTTCTGTCTTTACATTTACCATGTTTTCCTCTTTATTTGGAAAGAGTTCAGGCTCATTTAGGTATTTTCTTTTCCCATTTCTAATTTTATCCAAATGTAAATAATGAATATTTTCTCTGCATAGACGATTGCACTGCACTAGGAACTACATCCACCTGCACTTATTTGTGTCTTTCATGCTGAGAGCTGTCAGCATCTTTGTCAAGGACAGGGTAGCACAGGCTCACCTGGGAATTGAGGAGCTGCAGTCCCTGGTAATGCAGGGTGACCTACAGAATTCCATCAGACCACCTTCTGTGGACAAATCACAATATGTAAGTGTTCTCGCTATTTTCTCTCACTACTGATTTGTGAAGCTTACAAGAAAGAAAAAGTTCACAGTCTACTAAATATTTGTTAAGTCGATTAGAGATAGAGTTGACCTTGCCACTCTTATGAATTACTTTTTCAGAAGTAAAACTCATCAGCAAAACCAGAAGCTTGGGATTTAAAAGTACCTTTATTATATACTCAGAGTCTTGTTCGAGTATAAAGTTCCATGGTACTTCATTCTGTTTTTAAATATCCCAATATTAGATAGTAAATAGAGTCAATTAATTTGATCACTGAAATAATACAACTGAAAATTAGTCATAGTAGATGACTAATTAATTAGTCATAGATTTATATTAATGGTATGAATTAATGCCCTATGTGTTTCTCTGCCTTTTCCCTGTAGCTTTGTCGTCCTTCCTGTGTCTGTTTCTGGCTTGGCCTTGTGACTTACTAATAGCTTTGGAGTAGAGGTGAAAACACACCAGGCTAGGAAGACTTTCATGAGGAACCTGGCCAAGAGTAGCTGAGTGGCACAGATCATCAGAATTATCAGCTGATCCATAGATCAATAAGAATTATTAAATGTGTATTGTTTTAAGTCATTAACTTTTGGGGCAGTTTGTTTTGCTGCCAAAGTGACATAAAAAGACCAGAATGGAATAAATTCGTGGCAGAAAGATGGATAAAACTGAGTTTTTGTTACTTATAAAATATCTTACTGTAAAAATAGAATCTTTAAAAATGCTAGATTAAAATAACTGTTGTGGTTTGTTTCAGCATTTTTAGCCTTCCTGTGTACAGAAGACATACAGACTATAAAAAAGAATCCAAAGAATTATTTTCTAATGACCTCAGGTTGGCATCCAGTACAATTAAGGCTTCTAATATGATGTAATTCTGGTTTATTTGTAACAGATCGGGTGCAAGATTGCTGTTGTGATGTTTATTTACTTCTTGGCTACAAATTATTATTGGATCCTGGTAGAAGGTCTCTACCTGCATAATTTAATCTTTGTGTCTTTTTTTTCGGACACCAAATACCTGTGGGGCTTCATCTTGATAGGATGGGGTAAGGCATTTATGTCTCCTTTGACTGGTTGTGGATTTGAGGACGTTCTGCTATGCCTATCATCAGCATTTTTTTGTGCCATTTTCCTGAAATCATCCCTCTTCTCCTTATCTTTATCACCTCTTCTTTTTTTTTTTTCATTGTTGTATTCTGAAATCAAAATTATCAACATCAATCCTATAACCTTCCCAGAAGAAACAAACTTTGCAAACTTAATTTCTGATTAGTGCTCTTAGGCTGCAATATTGTGAAGATTTTGTAGAGGAAGTTTAAGATAACTCAATGCTAGCCATACACATTTAAAATGGTTAGGCTTACTAGTCACTATTCTACTTTGTCAATAATTTCTTCCTTAATTCTGTGATTTTTAGATTTCTTCTTTTTTTTTTCCTCTTGTTCTTCTTCTTCTTCTTTTTTTTTTTTGGCAATATTGGGGTTTGAACTCAGGGTTTCACACTTGGTAGGAAGAAACTCTACCACTTGAGCCACTCTGCCAACCAAGTTTTAGATTTCTAAGATATATTGATATTTCTTTGATTTCTATTTCTAGATCATATGATAAGAATGACAGAAAGGAAATTCATAGTACTATCTTGACTGTATTTAACAAAAACATATTACAAACTAATTATGTAGAATTATTATGACTTTTAGAAGGGGATCATTCAAATTACTTTTGGAAGAGAAGTTAAAAAAAAAGGATATTTAGCTTATATTCCAAAAATGACTTCTCAGTACTAGGGCAATTACTAGATTAGGCATGAACTCAGCATGTCATGGAGAAAAGGGTGCTGTTTGCTTGTTAAAATTTAAGGACAATTAAAAATTTTAATATGTGGTTAAAATGGAGAAGAGTCTGGAGGTTAACAATTGCAGATCTCAGTTACTATTTTAGTATTCAAATTATGAGGTGCTCAGCATAGGAAAAAAAAAATCACCAAATGGCTCAAGACTTAATTTCTCCTCTTTCCAAAACAAGAACATTTCTTTGCCTGTTTTACCTCAATATTGCCTTAACAGTTGAAGATGTAAAAGTAAGGAATATGAAACTTCCAGCTAACTAATTAATAACCTTTTGGAAGATAAAGAACTGTAATACTTCACTTATTATAAAATAGTAATTATTGTGACTAGAATTTTATTTATGAAGTTAGCTCATTTGTTTATTTTTTGACTTTCTACATCTTTGATCATATATGTAATAATTATTTTTCTCTTGTCACTTATTGGCTTGAGGGCAGGCTTCCTCATCATCTATTCATTTGGGTTAAGTCACTTAATTCAGTCTGTCCCTTCTTAATTAAAGTCTGGAGTTTGTCAACAATGAAACCCAGAAAACTAGTTTTTAAAACTTTCTGTGAAAGAAAGAATACAAAGGAACCAAGAGTCCAGTTAGCTTCTATGTAATCATGTTTTTTTTAACCTTTCCTTTTCCACAAAAATTTTGGCATAGGGATGGCAACTACAATAGATAAGCATCATGGGTGTGTAGTTCAGTGGTAAAGCATTTGGCTGCAGATAAGCATCATTCTTTGGAATATTCATTGAATGAAATAGTTTAAGAACACACTTGAAAGCATTTTCATGGAAACTTGATGCAAAAACATTTCCTACGCATTATTATGCTCATTTAATTAGTTACAATTGCGAATGATAACAGCCACTCTATGTAGTTCTGCTTCTATAGCTAGTCTATCTTATAACTCTTTTTTTGCAAATCAGTTCTATTTAATGAAAAGAATATTGCTAAATCAAATATGCCTCAGCTAGGTAAATACTCAGAAATATGTTACCCTGTAGTGATATTAAGTTATATTACAATGATTTTGATGATTATTATCCATAAATTGGAAGTAAAATAAAATTACAATCTGAAGAGGGACAGATACGTATCTGACCTTTACTAAATTGAAGGCAAATATTGAAAACGATTGTTTTTATATATTTTTAATCACAAAAGAAGATATATAATGCAGTAAAGGCAAATAATGATGACTGTGGGTTTCTTTCTTTCAGCCAAACATATCCTTAATTTTCTCCACCCTTTATTAGTTATCCCATAAGTAAAGGACTTTACTCTTGGTTCCATTTTATCCTTTCATTTACATATTTTTTCTCTATATTTTAATGCTCTCAGTCTTGTTTTTCATTTCTAATTCAATGCTTGTGTAACCTCTATACCAGCAGCAATCCTTAATTTTCAACTGTCAGATGTGTGTACATATTTTATAAAAGTACCTATCCTAGAAATTCCATATAGTCAGTCATGTTTTGTTGTCAAATGTTCATGTAGAATATTGTCATATTCTGTGAAGATCACTAGGAAAAGGTACTATACCTCATTTTAAAAAAGTGACCTCAATCAGCAAACATTTTTTTGATCACTCATTTGACAGTGGTTATAGTTTAAATAAAGAGAAATGTGTTAAAATTCCTGTCTTGGTACACTTTGTATTGCTCTAACAAAATATTGAAGCTGGATAATTTGTAAAGAAATTTGTTTAGATTACAGTTCTGAAGGTCCAAGAACATGCATTTCTGGTGAGGGCCTCCTGGCGGGTAGAAATGTATGCTGTGTAAGAGAGCTCATGTGATATGAGAGGAAGCAAGACAGTGAGCCAATACTAAACTCACTGTATAACAACCCGTTCATCCCCACAGGCCTAACCCACTCACAGAAGATGGGCATTAATCCCTCTTGAGGGTGGTATCCCAGTGACAAAATCACCACCCACTAGGCCCCACCTCTTAGAGGTGGCATCACCTGTTCACAGTGCCGAACAGAGTAGGGCTTTGGGCGTGTAAACCTTTGGGGACAAACCACATGTAAGCACAGCAGTCCCCCACCTAGAGACACTCAGGCCAACACTTTATTTTATGTTATAGTTAAAATTTTAATTGGTGAAACTTGTTTTTTACAAAATTATAATGCCATGTCTTATGAAAAGAACTCAATTTTAAATAAATACATATATTAACATTTAAATTTATGTTAACTTGTTTAAGTTAAATTTCAATAACATTTAAATTTCAAATATCTTTTCTATTTGTGCATTTTAAATTATGAATAATGTGGTACTAAGATTGGAGATAAAAAAAATCCTTAAAGAGCTCCTCTATGGCTGTGTCTACATTTGTGTGTAAGACACACAAGACTTGTGGAGACATCTTTGCTTCTGAGAGTATGAGAAAATAAATTTCATTGAGAAATAGTGCTTGTTATTTGATACAATTGTCATCTAAAACATAGTGCAAACTCAAGTACAATTACAGCCAACGTTGTATAGAATATCATTCAGGAAATTGTCTGATCAGGAGATTGAAAGGAAGCAGATGATAGAGATCTGGAATGAGGAAATCTGAAAATGTTGATCAATGAGAAAGATCTTTAAAGATAACCAATATAGCAGAACAACAAAGGGGTCTATGTCAGACCATTTCTAACCATTCTATTAGAAATAGCTATACTATTCCCATTACATAGTATTATTTTTATTTTTTTCTAAAATGAACACTAATTGATAACTAATAAAGTTTTTATTAATTTGATTGATAACTGAAGTTTCTTTTTAAAATTCATTTTAACATTGTTTGTTTGTTCATTGAATAATCTTCAGAAACCAGAACAATCCTTGACATATAAATGGGAAATTAGTAGGTGCCTAGTATATGAGTGGTTGGATGGGTGGCTGCATGAAAAGATACAAGAAAGGCAGACAGAATATCGAGTTGAATTACACAGGTCTATTTGATAAAAAATTTCATAAAAACCAGAATTTGAGCAGTTTGTTAGAAAAGGATATATATACATAAATAAAATTGGAATATAGCATCATAAAACTCAGTCATCTAATAGGTACGCTGAGGTTGAATTCAGTTGGTGAGATGGTGATTGAAGAGTCCAATGACATTCTCTATAATAATTATTAACTTACTTTCAACTTTTTCTATAATACCTTTTCATCTGAGTCTATAAATTTGTTTCACTTTGTTGCTTAGAAATACCTGAATAATTACAATTGTGTTTTTTTGAAAGATAAAGAATTTAGTACAGTACCGTGCTTGCCAAAAGATGTTCTAAGCTAGATTAAATTTTGTTTTCTCCCTTTGTGTGGTGCTTCATAGCTTCTGTAATGTTGTAATTAGGTCTCTGCATTTCTTTTATTTAAACTTCTTTCATGAAGGTCACAAAATGAAAGTCACTCATTAAATCTATTAGTTCTCTAATGCTGTTTTTTTTTATTGTTTTATTATTCATATGTGCATACAAGGCTTGGCCGTATTCCATAGAAGTTCTGACTTATGAGTGTGTGTGTGATGCCAGGATCTAGTCAAATGCAGTATGAATTAACCGTTCAGCCTTTTTTGGTGGCAAAGCACTAATGCAAATTCAATGTAAGAGATTTGATATTGCAAGCCCAGAAGTGTTTATCATTCACAAAGGACAGATATCACAGGCACAAATCATGAAAATACCATAGCTGCCACGCTTTGTTAAGCTATCAATGCGTGCAAATGCTTGTTTTGAGCCAGTATATGCCAAAAATGGGAGAGACTATAGTGGTTGAGCCGTCCTGATTTTACCCTCTTTATGTCTTCCATCATTAGAATGAAAAAAGTCCTAATGCTTTTAAGACAACAGCTTCTCACAAGTCCATCTTGTTGCTTCACTCCTTGAAAGTGTGTGATTATCTGTGAGGCTAACATCACAGTGCACCAACCATGCCTACTTCGATAACTGGGAACTTTAGTCCCCTCCAGATGTCTCATGGGCACACATTCCTCCAATGAAAATTGGACCAACCTTTATCTTCAGGCTCTCAGGGTCAAATAATCCTCAGTGTTCACACTCATTTCTCAAATTGAAGATTAGGCAGATTTTATTCACATATCAATATTTTTGTGTTTTTCTCTCTCAGCTGCTAATAGTATATTCTTAGGTGGTGAGTATGAGAAAAAATATTTAAATTTAAGTGAAATATGGTCTCTGAATCCTTTTCTGATTACAGGGTTTCCAGTGGTATTTGTTGTGACCTGGGCTGTGGTACGAGCAACTGTAGCTGATGCTAGGTGAGTGAAAAACAGAACTCCTGACTCTGACTTCCTGCCTGCAGTCCACACAGACTGCTTTTCTTGATGCCATTGCCCATTCAGGATGTCTTGTGGGGAAACTGTCTTGATGTAATGGTGGCCTCCTGTGTGTCACCAGTAGCTGTCCATTCCTAGGTTATAGAGCAGAAAAACTCACAGACCACATTAAGGCATTGAACTCCATGGCTTATGAAACCAATTGAAAACATTCTGTGAGAAGCAAAGGGAAAAGACATGTGAGGGAACACACTGAGAATATGGTGTGAGCAGGTCGAAGGACCATAATACTTTCTTTGACACACTGGCCATTCCCACTGATGATGTGGTTACAAGGATCAAAGATAGGATGAGGTTGTAACAATGGGACCCATGAACAAAAAGTGTCCTGGGACAATGACACACAATAGAGTGGGTGGTAAGTATGCTGGCCATAGCTGTGGACTTCCCAATTAGCCTGCTGTAGCTGTGGGATTCGTTTTTATTTCTTGTGACAAGGGCATATGAGAATAGGTTTCACTAATTACTGGCTAAATTAATACCTCAAGAATATTGATCATTTTCTATTAGGGATATTTTGTGTCTGTTGTGTCATAAATATTCAGCTCCCACTTGTCTCATATAGCTTTGACTACTTACCTGTATTTGATGCAAACTATGACTTTCATCATCCCATTTATATTCTTCTAGTATCAGATGAATTGTTAACAGAATACAATATAACATCCACTGACTCCTTCCACTGGAAGCCTTTCTTTAATTTGAATCAATGTTTGTCTTGAATTGCTAGGAATTTCCTTCAGAAGTTACATTGTCTGCTATGCACTGAAAGAAAAAGAAAGCCACACTACACAAGCACCTGAACTCTCTAAAGAACCTGCCACTCACTGCCCCACACTACTCTAGAGTCATGGTGTTTAGGTGCAACCTTCCAACTGCTTACTTCAAATCTCCCATTCATCAGATTCCTAAGTCTTTCTTTGCTTTGAATTTTTACTTGCTTTTATCCCTTTATGCTATTTGGATTTGTCAGCAATTGCAAATTGGGTTAATGTCTACAGTGTTGTCATTATTGCTACATTTACTCTGTGATGGAAATTTTAGAGAAAACTTACAGAATCTGCTCTTTGATTTCCAAGGGAAGGAGTTTGAATCAGTAAAGAGTCATTATTACTTAATGCTACAGTAATCATATTCTGAGATGTGTAACTATATAACCTAGATTAAGAGTTCTAGAGTTATTAAGACCTAAGGCATTTTCTGGTCCAATCCCTCATTTTAGAGACAAACAAAATGAGATGCAGAGATATCAGTACACATTCTCAAAACTTGTAGCTAGCCTGGCCCTTAATTCTGACTCACTCATTTATCCACTTAATACATATTCCATCCTGGGCAGCAAGTATATTCACAATGCATTCTATATTGAATTAAAGTTTGTTGAATTATGTCATTTTCTTTCTTAAAGATTATAAATTAAATCTTAAAACATTGACAACCATAAGTATTTTCACTGAAAAATGAACTATAAATTTATTTTTGAGGCAGAGAATCCATTGAACATGTACTGTGTTGAAAAATGTAACTTAGATAGTATGCTCTAACAGTTGAATTAATACAAAAATTAAATATAAACTAGATTATGTGAGTCCATAGTACAAATATTTCACTTCTCTCTTACCTTATTTAGAAGGAAATCTTGAATACTACAGTTCTCTAATCTGGAATTAGAGGGTCATTTTATATTTGACTTTGTGTATAAAATTAAACTTCATTACTAATTATCTGGCATGATTTCAAAATTGCCTCATTTGGCTTCTCATGAAATTCACTTTTTCCACAGATAAAGATTTTGCGAGTTTTCTTGTGTGGAATATAGTGCCATGACACAAAGTTCATATCATTGGATGGGGTTCATATCAATGACTATTACATTTGAGAATCTACAACTTCTCATCTGGCCTTTCCATGCTAGAACTCTGATGTTTTTTCTTTGCATTTTTGCCATGAGATAAGAAGATCAGAGCCAGTTTCAAAAGAAACCAGAAGCTCTTGGAAATATAAAAGAAGTCACTTCTTGTCCTAACATCTAGCAAGAGTGTTATTTGAATAAGACAGGCTAAAGTAATTGAATAGTGTAGGTTGGACAAATAAACAGTAATTTTGTTTCTCATGCTTTTTAAAATTATTATAAAAGCAACAACATCTCACAACAACTTCCATCCCTCCCTCTCCTTAGTTCATTCAAAGGAGATAAAAGATGCAGTGACTGGGAGAACCTGTAAATTCTTTGCTATATTTTTGTTTTACCATTCAGAAGGAAAGGTAGGACTGGCAATGGGAAGGACCATGAAAAAATGTTCTTTAACACTCCTGGGATTTGCAGAAACTCACAGCTGGACTCTTTTGCCTCCTGTGTTCCTACTAAGTGTGAGCTGTGGAGAGAATACAGTGTTGGCTCAATAAAATTCACTAGATCCCCCTGGTAGAACCATGCATATTTCCAACTTTGGTTGTAGAAGTTCTGCTTTCTAGTTAGACCTTTGTGCCTTATGCTCCACCATTCAGGACTGCATCCCTAGTGTGTTAAAGTCTACATAAAAAATCAACAGAAAATCTGGGACGTTGAAAATTTAACTTAAAATAAAGATTCATAGCATTTTCTTTAAAAACTCTGAAATATTAGTTACCTCCTCATATCAAATGGTAAATTTGAAATTTTAACACCAAAAAACTATTGAAGTCAAGGTTTTCATGTTTTCAGAGGTAGCTGATTTTGACCTACTTCCAAATACAAGTATTTTATAGAGCTAGAATTGTATAATCGGATCCCAGTGTGTCAGGAGACATGAGGATGAAATGTCATTGAGATGATAAAAGAAGACTGTGAAGATATTATCAAATGTCAAAAACAGAAATGAAAATTTATGGAATCCAAAAGCTTTGTAGTTAGTAAATCAATGTTCAGCTTATATTAACACAATACATTTGCCAGCTTTTTAGGATAGGATGATACATGCTCTACACAATTTAGGAATAACATCTTTTTCTTTTCTGCTTGAAGAATAATGTGAAAAGTAGATGCCTATAACTAATGCTAGGGAATTCTCAGTAATGTGCAAGTGTGAAATTTCTGTGTCTTAGATTTCTATGTTGTTAAGACTTTAAGTTCATTGGCTGTGCAGATTTTAGCTGGTGTGGACCAGAACTACACTTTGGTGTAGGAGTCTGGTTGATTTCTTTGGCATATTATCATAATATCATAATGGCTGTGTGACTGATCACTCTGAGTACTGATATGGAAAGAAATAAAATATTACATTAAAAAGACAAAGGAAATTACATGATAGTATAGACATTACATTTTTTGTGAAAGTCAAATTTACTTTAGATTCAATTTATATTATTAATCTAATAAAAATCATTGACTACCTGCACACAGTGTACTGTTGCACTTGCAACACCTCACAACACAAAAACAGGAGTGACTTTTGCTCGTGGAGTACTTACATTCTAGTTAGGAACCAGAAAATAAATATAAACAAATGGGTAAGTTATATGACATTTTAAATTAATTACTTAAAAATAAACTTTTAAAATGAAAAATAAAATCATGGATCATGTACAAATATAAAATGAACACCTGTCCAAGATTTTTTTTTATACCTTTTTAAATGAGGGAACTTGTAAGTTAAAATTGCTTCAAAGAAGAAATCAAAGAATCACAAGTTTATATTCAGGAAAATTAATACTGAAAATTTACAAGTAAATACAAAGGTAGTCAATTTACTCATTGGATACTAACCAATTACATTCTACTGAACACAGCTAATTTTTATTTCTGTGGCAAAAATAATTTGTATTTCTGTTGTGCTTCTGTAGATAAGAATGATTTGCATTGTTGTCAATGTTTTATATGTTATAGACTTATAAAATAAAGTTGCTGGGCCTTCTGAAAGAGGGAGAACTTTATTAGAAAATTTTAATTATCATGTTGCATTTCTTTTTTTTTTTCATTTTTCTTTTATTATTCATATGTGCATACAAGGCTTGGTTCATTTCTCCCCCCTGCCCCCACCCCCTCCCTTACCACCCACTCTGCCCCCTCCCTCTCCTCCCCTTCTCAATACCCAGCAGAAACTATTTTGCCCTTATTTCTAATTTTGTTGTAGAGAGAGTATAAGCAATAATAGGAAGGAACAAGGGTTTTTGCTGGTTGAGATAAGGATAGCTATACAGGGCATTGACTCACATTGATTTCCTGTGCGTGTGTGTTACCTTCTAGGTTAATTCTTTTTGATCTAACCTTTTCTCTAGTACCTGTTCCCCTTTTCCTATTGGCCTCAGTTGCTTTAACGTATCTGCTTTAGTTTCTCTGCGTTAAGGGCAACAAATGCTAGCTAGTTTTTTAGTTGTCTTACCTATCCTCACCCCTTCCTTGTGTGCTCTCGCTTTTATCATGTGCTCATAGTCCAATCCCCTTGTTGTGTTTGCCCTTGATCTAATGTCCACATATGAGGGAGAACATATGATTTTTTGGTCTTTTGGGCCAGGCTAACCTCACTCAGAATGATGTTCTCCAATTCCATCCATTTACCAGTGAATCATGTCGCATTTCAATGCTAATAAAAACAAAGTACCAATTGCTCCACATTTAAAAGACTAATTTTTTTTTGTGGCTCTGGAAACAAGGTTTGGTTCTGGTCACTATAAAAGTAATTCACCAATATTTATCATACAGTACTTACATAAGTTTATCTAGTAGGATGGAAAATAGGACTCATTGTATGTATTTTTACTGGTTTGGATATTTCAGGATAAGATTTTTTTCATCTATTTGTTTCTTAATTTGAAGCTTGGGGCTAGAGTTTTTGTTAAACTTAAAATTCTACTTAATTCTCATTATTTATGCTTTGTCAAATTTGTTCATGGAAGTTCTTTTTCATGTCTCAGGTGCTGGGAACTTAGTGCTGGAGACAGGTGGATTTATCAAGCCCCAATCTTAGCAGCTATTGGGGTAAGTTTGAGAGCTTGCATAGTTAAAAAAGATGAATAATTAAACTGATGCTAAAACCCTGACCCTTTACTGTATGATAGGTTTGGGAAATGCTCAAATATGCAACTATAGCTGTTGGGAGAGTTGGGGTTGGGGTCCAGATCCTTTTGTGTGGGTGACACCAAGACCCATGCAGAAAGCACATGTCCTGATTAAAGAATCAGGTAGTACTTGGGGACTATTCTGAGACTTGCAATATAATGAAAATTTATATGTGTAGGGAGTTAGATGGCCCTAAATTTCTTTCTCCTTTTTATCTGTTATATTTCCCCTTTAACCTTCTGACCATCTAGTAATAAGTTGGGGTAATAAGGAAGGAAAGATAGACTAGCACAGCAGAGACATTGCTGAGAGTGATAAAAGAGTATGATCCATTATAAAGCATTGTCTGAAGATTTTATTTGGTGTACTTTCCCCATGGAGTTAAGTGGATTCCATAGAGAGAGATATCCTGAAGAATCCCATATAATAGATAACAGGGGAAAAGACTAGAGGTGGCAATGCATATTGCACAGGATTTTATATTGCATCTGTGTTGCAAAGGAAAACAAACTCACCAAGATGTTTACTCTTGACTTTCCTTGAAGGCTTTATGGCAGCAGTTTCTCTGTGGTTTAATGAAGAACTTACACTAGCTTGTGTTTTCCTGATGTTTATATATGCAATACAAGATTATTAGCATCATAAAAATAGGACTGCTCTCTCAGTACTAACTGTTAAACCATTTGAAAATAATTTAGTAACCAGATTATTAACTAATTTATTGTCTTTCTTTGTTCTCCAGTTTCTTTTTTTTGGACAGAGTATCACCAACTTTCTCAGCCTGTTGGTGTACTGAATCCCAATGGGCAGCTGCTAATATGGTTGAGATTTTATAGGATCATCCAGAGAATTAGAGCAAATGTTATTTACCTTATAGAGAAGTTGTCAAAAGAACAATAGAAGACAGAAAAAGTAATCTTCACTTTAGAGGCTAATTGATGTAATATTTGGAGAGCATAAAATAACACAGAGCACCTTTTAAGAAGCCATTTTTATCCTTGGTAAATCATAGACCCAATTCCACATGTCTTAGGAGAAGCTCAGATTGGGCTGGATATAAAGGAATGAATGACTTAAATGTATAAGCTCATAATTTAAATTTTTAATGTAAATGAAATGTTTCTATGCTAACAGTGATAAGCCATTCCAGAACTGCAGTCATGTCACCGGGAGAACATCAGTGAGCTTAAATATAAGAATTCATGTTTTAAAGTGGCATTTATTATTCTGATTTCCCTTTTATCCATTGGAACTTTCTTCTTATCTGCACTTCCAAGCCTCTTATTTTCCTTTTTTCTAATCTCTCCTCTATATATTTCCTCCTCCATATCTTACTACTTTTTTTAGGGGGACATTCTATATCTTGAACTTTTTGTATCTTCCTTTTCTTGGCATGCTAAATGAGAAATAATTAATGCTTCTAAATTTACCTCCATTTATATGTAATGGTTAAGTTTTATTTTTAATCTTGCTGAAAGGCAGGGTGTATTAAAATCCAACAGATCCTTATAAATTATTAGAAATTGAAGCAAAGGACAGTGCAGAGAAGTAAATCATAGGTCATTTTCCTTGGAAGCAGTTGGTTTTTTATCCAAAGCTTTGTTGCTTGTTTGTGGTTACATCGCCAACATGAATGGAAAGTTGATTTGCTGAGGTCACTAAATTGCAATGGGATTAAAGAGTAAGGTGATTAAAGAGTATTCATAAGATTTGCCGTTGGTGAAGGAGAGCTAGAAATGATGGCACACTCAAAGAGTTGAAGGAAAGTTAGGTGGAAGGCCATTTTCTTCATCTTGAACTAAAATTATGCAAGATCTAAAGCAAGAATTATTTTTTCTTTTTTTGTACTGTATTATTGTTGTAAAGAACTCTTAAATACATGTCTGATATGACAAAACCTGTTTAATATCTCAAATGGCAGAAGAGAGTCAAGAGCACATATCTATTATGAGAGTTACCTTCTTGTTTTGTCATTAAAATTTGAGGTTATCAGAATTCCCTTGAAGGTTTTTGATTTACTTGCAGTTTGTTAATGTATCTAAAAGTTCTCATATAATGTAAAAAATTGGACTTGAAATTCGTATTCCACTTATTTTATCAATAACTTAGAGAAAGCTGAGTTATGAAAGAAAAATTAAGAAGGCAAATAGAAGCCTAAGGGAAAGAAACAATAGAATTACAAAGGAAAGCTCTAAGGTGGAGTCTGCAATAAAATGAGGGAACTGTCTTGAGTGACAAGAAGATAGAGATAGAGTATCCCAGGAGACAGATTTGGCCTGGGGAGTGAGAATGTGGAAGGCACTGTGTGGACAGTTACGTTGGATGTTTCATAACCAGTCATTAGGGTTGCCAGCGGCAACCTCAGAGGATCACCTGAAAGCACACACACAAGTCCCGGAGATCCGGGAGTTGGAAGACACACAGTGAACCCAAGTCAATGTGTCTTAAAACCTATATTCCAAGAATAGTGATTCTTTTACTTGGAATTCCAAAGACCAGTGCTTTATGAGAAAAATTGCCTTTCAAAAAATGAAAGGTCCTTTAGAGTCTATTTTGGTAGAAGGTGGGAATTAATAACAAACACAAAATCATGAGCAAGGAAAATAGTGATTAGCAGGGCAGCTTCCTTCATTAATTTGTTTTTGTAGATTGGGCAGGCACTAGAGAATTGTGAAGGGTCTGACCTGAGGTGTGAGCAGTAGTGTCAGGAACTGAGGCTGCAGAAGGAATGGGTGCTGGGCCCTGCAGGGGCTCATGTAACTCACCAAAGATTGAGACTTAGTTCTACAAGTGGGGACAACCAAAGATTTTCTCACTGCGGAGTGATGGAGTGAGCTTTCTTGTTCAGATCATCCCAGGACTTGGTTGAGGCTGCCAGTGGAGCAATTAGGTACCAGCTGGTGTCTGCTGAGTTAAGTCACAGTGACCATGAGGGACAGGGCATGGCTCTGAGAGAGTTACAAAGCAAAGACCAGTAACTAGGGTTTGGCATTTGGAGCATTTTTCCCTTTGCACCTGCAATTCATTTTCCTCATTTCCATGACCTGGTCCCTTGCTCCTCCTCTCCCCTCATAGCTTGTCACTTTCTCCCCATGCTGTCTCAGCTCAACACAGTGGTCTTCTTTCGGTTCTGTGAACATGTCACACTCTCTCCCATCCCAGGGACTTTGCACATACTGGTCTGTCTGCCTGGAATTCTGTTTCTCCTGCTGCTTCTCTGACTAAAGACCATTCTCCTGTCACTTCCTAGCTTAAAGATGACCTTCTCACACACGCCTTATCTTCGTCTTACAGATGTGTGTCACAGTAGTTTTGTTAGAGTCCCAGGTCTGCCCTCCTATAGAATGTACTGGCTGAAATTTTATGCTGCAGGCTGACCTTTGGGCAAGTTATTTAAACACAGCATCCACTTTTGCCTTTTATAAAATGGGGACAATAGTATAGGCTACATAAGTTAATGATTGGACTGCGCTGGAAACAGTGACTAGCATATATGAACATTTTAACTCCTCCTCCCTCTTCCTTCTTCACCACCTCCTTTTTCTTCGGCACTGGTGTTTGCTAGGCAGGCGCTCTACCACTTGAGCCAGGCCTCTAGCCCTTTTCTTTCTGATTATATGGAGATAGGGTCTCCTGTTTTGCCCAGGGCTGGCCTGGACTGCAATTCTCCGATTTTCTGCTTCCTGTCTTTGTTGAAATGACAGGTGTATGCCATTATCTCTAGCTTTTTTCCTTTGAGATGGGATCTCACAAATTTTTTTTTTGCCTGAGCTGGCCTGAAACAGCAATCCCAGACTCGCATGTAGCATGGGATGGCAGGCACACACCACTGTCCCTAGCTATTGGTTGAGATGGGGTCTTGCTAACTTTTTACCCTCAAACATCCTGATCTAAGCCTCCCATACATGTAATAGCAAGGATTACAGGAGTGAGCTACCAGCAGCTGAGTATTATCATTTTTATTTTTTATGTGTTAATAACTTGCTCATAACCGAGGAAGACTCCCCTCCAATAGCTTATCATAAAAATATTCATTTTAAAATTTTATTAGCATAAATTGTGTTTCATTTGATGTCTGCCTACATGCATATAATGTACTTTTTTTAAAATTCACCCCATCTATTTTACTTTTTTTAACCTTTTTCCTCTCATACTATTTCTATAAAGTAATAAAAAGAACATTAGTTTCTGGACAGCAATAATATGAATACTTGTTCCTTGTATATCTGTAAGTGACCTCTTAGACCTGAAAGGCCTCCAAGGGATCATCTGGCTCCGGGGTCCTCCACAATGACACTATGAGGACTCCCAGGTTATGCACAGGCCCTCTGATTATAGCAGGTCTTCCCTTCCCATACCTACAAAGGCAAACATGCCATGGTTTGACTGTTTCTAAATAAGACTGCAAAGGTATCTACCAGTAGTGCATATGCTATATCTTGTTGGTAGTCTTAGACGATATTTTCACCTTTGCTATTAGACATTTTGGTGTTATCTAATTTTGATATGAGAAGACTTTACTTTGTAAAAGTAGTCAAGAAATAGCTTTTTTTTGAGAAAGAATTAAGCTCTTACTTTTGTAATTTTTCAGGTGAACCATTCAATGATTCACCTTCTGTTACAAAAGATATGGTGTGAGAAAAGTATAACAAAGTTTTTATTTTTACTTTCACTCTCTTGTTTTTTATGCAAGATCCCGTTTCTGAATTCAATAAATATTTGATGAAAAGGAAACCTGCTTCCTAATTGCTTCGCATGGTCTTCCCATGACTTGCTGGCAAACAGGCTGGTAGTAAGTTAGCCCTCTGTGAGGAAGGTGGCCAGCCCCTGGGTCTCTCCTGACTGGGTTGGGTGGAGATGTGAAGAGAGGGTGAGCGTGGCCACTCCATGCCTGCCTGGTCACTACAGCTGAGTTCTGT